TGTTATTGAAATAAACATGTATGAGATTAGTCTGTTTTATGATCATTACTTAATCAACACGATCTTTGCTTGTAATACAATGTAACACTTCATTAACTTCATTAAATATTATCTACCATACATCTATCTAGTGTTTCTTCACTTATATACATTTCAGACAATATTCATTTGAAGTCAGTCTTTGCTTCTCGTATATTGAGTAACATAGTATAAGCTTTTAATCAATTTGTGTTTAAGTGATTTTGTAAGGTTTTACGTCAATAATGCATTTGCGGTAATTTGGCTTTCGCCACTTAAAAAATTGATTCAAGGCTCAAAAAGCAAGGTTGTTCAGACTGTTTCTTAAACAATGGATAATGCTTTAAACTGAACATTCATCTATTTAAAGAATGCATAAGTTCATGAATATGTAAACATTAATTGCCTTCAAATATTTAGTTAACTGCCTTTTCAAAAAACTTTATTATATCATTTATTATTCAGCATTGATAAAGTGATATGACAAGTTACGTTTACGAATAGTTTTGATCATGTGTACAATATAAAGATCCTTATATGTTGGTATTGGTCATGACCATGCTGTTATTAGACTATTCGGGCAAAATACAATAATGGGGACATAACAATTGGTGTTTGTTATGTTATCTCTACGGCTAACTCAGACCAGCCTAGTAGTGAGCACTTCTGTGTTGACTTGAATTAGCATTGATATGATCATAACCATTAATTGACAAATTATAAAACTCAGAATTCATCGAAATAATAAGGATTGTTTACCCCAAGAAATAGATTATCTTTACTCTATTTGAAAAAACAAATTAAATTTTGGGTCTTCAGTGGTCTTCAACATCCTACCTTATTTTCCCATTTTCACTGTCTTGTTAAGTCTTTTGAAAAAATTGAAACCTGGTATCTCATTTGTATCTTTGATGATAATATAAAAAGAAGATGTGGTTTGATTGCCAATTAGACAACTCTCCACAAGAGACCAAATGACACAGAAATTAACAACTACAGGTCACCGTACAGCCTTCAACAATGAGCAAAGCCGATACCGCATAGTCAGCTGTAAAAGACCCCGAAACAGCAAATGTAAAACAGTTCAAACGAGAAAACTAACGGCCTAATTTATGTACAAAATAATGAACGAAAAACAAATATGTAATACAGCAACACACGCCAACCACTGAATTACAGGCTCCTGACTTGGGACAGGCACATACAGAATGTGGCAAGGTTAAACTAGTTTGAAGACGCCAACCCTCCCCTAACCTGGGACAGTGGTGTAACAGTACAACATAAGAACAAACTATAAACATCAGTTGAAAAAGGCTCAATTCATCAGATGGATACAAATAGAAATGCATCTAACAAAAACACAGAGTGGACGTGGACGGATTTTATACATCCCAACAACAAAAAGACACATAAAGTACAGATCTGAGAGTACTCGCAGTTACTGATAGCTAGTTCAAAGCCAATAACAACAAATAAAAAAATCATGCATCTAAGACTAAATTATCAACCAGTACAAAACCAATATCCAATGGATTTAGTGTAAAGACAGAGATAAATATGACCCTGTGCAATACCAAGATACAGTTATCGACAGATTGTAGAGCCATGAATGTGCATACGTATATAACAATAATATTTAGTTTGATTTTAATTTACTGATAACAAAACTTAATATTAATTCCAATAAAAACAATATTCAAAGATATAATTACAGTGTTGAATTGGTTATCTTTCACAATAAGTTTGAGTTTATTTACATACCGAAGGAAACTTAGTCCTATAACAAAAGCATGTTTTTAAGATTCTATCTTGATCAGTTTTGTAACACTAGTGAGATAGTAGTGAGAGATAAATTGATAGCAACTTTTGAAAATCAGAGCTAATTTAGCAGTTGACCGTGCAGAATTCTAAAAGTTGTGTGCTTCGTTAAACATTTTTTCAAATCATCAATGGCCCTGAATATAAGATTATTTCCGGGATGTTTCTTAAACATGAATTTCATATAAGAATATTATTAAAATGAAATACAGTTATATACATATTTTGATTGATATAGAATATGCGGTAACACTTTTGAAGGATGTATTATGAAAGAAAATGCAATGTATTACGCTGATAATACAGCACAAAAAAAAAATAACGAAAAAAACTAAAAATGTTTTCGGGTCAACATATGGTGTTGAAAAAAGACATTTGTCCACGCATTGTATCAATATCCAACGCACGAAGTTCTATAAGAATTTTATCACTTCATTATCTTTTTTTTTCTACATGATGAAGAAATACTTTTTTTTTATTGTTGTACGGTGAGGCTCAAAACTGACATTTAACATGTTTAAAGAAAATTTATAGTATAATTTATATACATATGTCTTTCGACGAAAAGATATTCGGATTTAAGAGATACCTTGCACTTATCATCAGGCATATTTTGAGTGTGATATTTCAAAGCTGAAATATAATAAAGCGTTGATTAGTTACATATATAAAGGTGCATGTTTGTTTGTACAAAGCAATACATTATTATTTCAACAACGAGTAATTGATATATCAAAACTGTTTAATAGCTGTACATAGACGTAATTGTCATATGATATTTGGAATTTATCATTATTTAGAAAGGTAATTTTATATACATACCTTCACATTATTGTTGACTGTTTTATATCTTATTTATTTCTTATTTAATTGTATAGTCAATAAAACAGTCATGGATTGTATTCGTTTTTGTTTTCATAAGTCGCATTTTGTGCTTGTCTGTATGAATTCCAGTTCGCTTGAAAAGAATGAAAATTTAGTAAACAACAAATATTATAATATACATGATTTTTTATACAAGTTCGGTAAAATAAAGCACGAACGGCGTAATCTTTCGGAGACCATCACTACTCTCTAAATTGTATGTATCGGTTAGATGTTCAATCCTCATCGATTTGAAATGTCGTTTTTGTATGTGTTTTTCTCTTGGCAGACACCACCAGTTAATCTATTTTCGAAAGTATACGTGTATACGTCTTGAAGACTGAACAATAACTTTTATAAGTAATGATCTGATGTTCAGAGACTTTTCAGTCTTTTCGACTGATGTTAATTTTGTAATAGTCAGATTATCATTTCATTTGCAGTCAATTTTAAACGATTCAGTCTTTTTATAAACAGTCTTTTTATAAACAGTCTAAATAAACACATACAAAAATATAATAATTAGTCTGAAAATAGACCAATTCTGGATTGAGTAAAAGTAACTTCTTTGAACGGTACCAAATTTACAATTTAGAAACAACTCCGTGTTAACGAAATTTTAACGTTTTTGTATTCAGACTTTCCAGATAATGCAAAACAAAAATTGCTTGTTTAAGACTTGAATTATTTTACTTTTAATTTAATAAGTACATTTTGGTTCATTGCGAACACAGCCTTTTTCGACGCTGATAGTTTATCATTACATGTTATCACTACATTTGTGTGTAGCTGATCATAAATGCAAGGAACGCATCATTATAATAACTGTTACATGTTAAGCCTTACGATAAACTTCATAGAAACCAGGTATATTCTGAATTGTCCATGTTGTACCTTTCTATATTCCAAATGTTTACCAATGTTTAAAGTCTTGCAGTGAAAACCACCGTGTTGCTGTCAAGTGCTGGTTAAAATAACCCCTGGTTTTCTGGAAATCTTAAATATTTATACTATGAAGCGCATGAATCCTCAATTTTTAATGCAAAATTAAATCACATTTAAATGATTATGATTTATTTATCCAAGTAACGATCATGTGTTGCTGTTGTATTTAAAAGACCCACTAGTATAATAATTGCAACTTGTTTCCCTGGTTTGTTTTTTTTTTGGGGGGGGGGGGGGGGGGGGGGGTTCTGACTGAAAGTTAGTTTTTATGAATAAATCTCAGAAAGATTTGTCAACTGAAAAGATTGCAGGTTTATTGCTTAAATAAAATCTGAATACAGTTAATAAAAAAAAACATTGAAGTACAGGTTGATAAAGTAATGCACAGTGGTACAAACATATAAATAACATTCAATATTGGACATAAAGGAACTTGCTTCACTTTCCAAATTGAATGAATCATTCATTGATAATGTCAATGGAATGTGGAATGTATTCGATGAAATTTATTTGCATCGTGGAAAAATAAACAGAAAATACATTAACAATATGGCATCAGGAAAAAAGTGATATATAACCTTCTTGTCTTCAATAACTTTTGTCCTTTTGTGAAATGTTTGCATTACAAGACAGCTAGTAGAGACACACTAGTTATATTTGTAAACATTGGTGTATCTGCTGTTCACTTTAATTATAAGTCGTTCAATTGCAATAATCATGATGTGAACTAAAATCGTTCAATAGATAAGATTCATCTTAAGAAAACGATATCTGGTACAATAACAAAAAAGACAACTATCAAACAATTATCAATGGAAAATGATATAACCATTTGCAGGCCAACGTATGGTCGTTAACAATCTGCATAACCTACTTTCGTATAGCTGATTTTAAAAACACCCAGCGGTATCAATATTGTACACCCTGTACACTGTATAAATTTAAGACAACGGCATACATTTTGTAAACCACATAAAACGAACAATAAATTTGGAAAACAGAAACCACGTCGACCAATGAACTACAATCAGGCTCCTGGCTTAGTACAGGTCGAAAACAAATTTGTTGGAATTGAGCATGTTGTTTATTGAATGTTGTGTAAAAGTACGTCGATAATATCATGAATATCAGATGTAATCAAACGCTGCATAAAAAAAAACAAATGCCTTATCGGATTGTTAACAAGTTTCACAAAAAGCAATCAACAGCTAACTGAAATTGCAAATATACATATAGGTTAAAGATTCTGGTTAAAGATGTCATTATTTTTTTTTTTTTTTTTTGCAATATTGTCTTCAACGTCAATATTTAGTATTGAAACTATTTGACTCTATATTTTGATTAGAACAAAAATGTGTATTATACATACTCTTTAATATTCAAATTATAGTAGGTCGTAACAACTTTCTAAATTGTGTCCCGTTGCATGCAACAAATTAAAAGGATATTCGCTCTGCCTGTTTTCTTTCAATTAAAAAAATGTTATTTTATTCCAATTATAGCTAGACACTGAATATTTTTGTGGTGATTTTAGGTAACATTAAAATTCACTCGTCGTCATAGTCAAAAGAAGTAATAAATTCTGCCTGAAATTCTGTCAGTGACTAACAGTTGCTTTCGTCTCAATCTGGAAGTTGCCATAGTTTATCAATAACTGCCAAATCATTAACCCGCCGTGTGGATGAGCGCTGAAAATTATAAAAGGTTATTTCAAACATTTGTTTCTATTGATATGTCATCAAATTACATTTTTCATTTTTACATGTTTTATAAAAACATTTTTATTCATAAAATATGCTCTTTTTAAGAAAATGTTATTTATTTGAAATAGCGAAACATATCACAGAATAAAACTAATTCCCGACAGAAATATTAAGAAAAAATAAATAACTGCATACTGACAGTTTGAATGCCAGAAATGTACAGTGAAGGATTACATACATATAAACTTTATCATGGAACTGACAACTACGCCAGCATTCTGTACGTAAAGACCTCCTCTGATGCCCTCAGATTTCATCATTTGATTTTGTATGTACCATGAATGTTCATTTGCAAAGTTTTAAAAACAAAGGAAATGTTAAAAATAAGTCTGGCATAATTGACAAAATGAAGCAATGAACATGCGCATGTCTACCAAACGAATAGCGATTTTAACCTTTGTGACCTTCTGTGAAGTTGATGGCTGTACTTCAGTTACCATAGTAACGATAGTATATCTAATCATCTGAATAGGACAAGTTCTTGGTTTTGGAATATAATTCAGTTTACAGTTATGCGTTCTTGTACTGTCTTTAGGGGTAAGTCGTTGGTTTGTTTCTCAAAATGCAGATTCTAGGTAAAACCTGATACATGGCCCATTCGTATTTAACGTTTCTTGTTCCACACACTACAGATGTACCTTTTAAACGGATTGTGATATGTTTACTGATAACTGCAGTAATTCCGGTTGACCCGAGATAATGATAACCCTTGGACGTGTCAGTAGAATGGCCATCAACTTTTGTAAAAGGAGTTAAAACGAAATTAGATTAAAAAATGACAAGTAGCATGTTTAAACATATAAATCTAAGCTTAATATTTCAAATCAAATAGCACTGGAAGAATATTTCAATCAGGATATGAAAATGAATACACTTATTGATAAGACTATTAAATCAAAATTAAGCGTTGGGTAATCTGACTGATAGTATCAATGCAATACATTATGGGTTATTGCTAACAACAAATACATAGCCTTTTGTCATACGATTTAGTCTGTTATTTATTGTTGGACGATGTGCATGGGTATTTAAGACAGCTGGTGTATTTGTTCGAATGTGCACTGTTGAACATACTTTTGAGGAACTAATTTAATGTTAATGTCACAACTTAATAAGTAAATGAAAGGATAGTATACATGTTTTTCTGAATAAATGATTGAAAAAAAGGAGATGGAGTATACTTTACATAGACAGCAACAAAACAACACCATAAGATGGGTACATACATGTACATAATTACATATCTACACAATAGAAGAGAGAGAGACACGCGGACGGACGGAAAGACAAACAGACAGGCAGACAGGCAGACCAACAGATATAAAGATATGTTTAGTTGTGAAAGCAAAGATGCATGCATGTTTGAATCAGATGGAAAAAAAGTTGATGAACAAAAAAATGATTGGGATCTTAAAACTAAGATGCTGATGAACTGCTGACGTGGTTAAAAAACAGATTTAAGAATGGAAACGGGGAATGTGACAACAACCCGACCAAAGAGAAAAAAACAGCCGAAGGCCACCAATATTTGTTTCAGCTGATCTTGTGCACTGCCACAAAGAGGAAATGTTATTTAAAAGTTAATTGTCACCACAATGAATGTTGTTTAAACAACATCCCTCAACGCGGAAAGCGATTACACAGCTATTGACATTGTGTTCCCCTAGGACACTTCGGTCCTTGTAAGATTAATTATAACATTGAATATCCCCCAAGAACACTTCGGTCCTTGTAAGATTTATTATAACATTGAATATCTCTTGCATATGGTGATAATTGAATAACCGGGAAGGTAAACACGAAAACAATGTCAAAGGATGTCACCAAAAAGAGAATTTTTTTTTGTAAATTTCACGTACTTTATTTTATAAGCTAACATTAGAAGTCTGATTCGAGATTGTATTGTCCGATTTTCTGCAGGAAAGAAAGACAACTTTAACTTCTTTACCTACAAGTGTGGTGTCTGAGGCGAAATTCGATGACTTGTGCGGGGGTGGATCGATTCTTGTGGCTGCCAGCAGGAGCATTTGCAATTCCAAAATCTTAAATTATGGTGTGTTGTCTGTAGGGCAAATGAAGTCACTGTTTCACATTGAAATAGTAAAACAACAGGCACATCACGAAGTCACAAATCATTATCAATGAAGGACAACTGTCAGGAGAAACACTTGAAAATAAAGTTGTCTGATGTTGTTTTACAAATATGTCGCATAGTAGATTTTGTTATCCTACCTTCCCATGCTAAACTGAAATTCATAGAATTTGAACAAAAATAAAATTTGATTAAATCTTTGGAACATAAATTCAATGCAGAGAAAGAAAAAATAATTAATACTTTAGAATTCTAGTGAAAATTTTGATAATGATAATAAAAATGCAAAGAATAAATCTAGCGTATGTTTGGCCTTGTGTGTTTTATCCAATTTACATTGTTAAAAATGTGATCATTTGTCATGGAACGCATTAGTAGGCTCTGCATTTGGTATTTGATTTCATCACTTCTAGACTCCTAAGGCTAAACTTATATTTAAAGGATATAAGTAAAAATAAAAGCTAATTTAATTTAATGTAGTGCGAGATGCAAAAAGCAAACTTTAAGACTTTAGAATATTAGAGAAATGTTTTGGTAATCATATATATAATACTAAAATGCAATGAATAGATTGATCGTCTGTTTGACCTTGTGAGTTTCGTCCTTTTTACACTGGTTAGAATGTTATTATATGCAATTGGAATAATAAGTAGGTTTTGCATATGAGGTGACAGACTAAAAGGCTATTCAAATTGAAAAGGTAACATGGCACGCATGACATTTATAAAATGTTGTTTTAAATTGTTTTCAGCACTTGCTCGACACCTCTGCTAGTAGATCATCAGTCCCGAGAGTATTATTAGTTCAATAGATAGTACTGCGGTACTGCTATGATTTATTACAAACCTTTCGAAAATTGTCCGTCTATAAATTGTGAAATAATAAAGAAACTAATTTTTAAACTCCCTCAGGAAAAATTGACCCTGAGATGGACTTGACTATTTTTGTATGTTATTTTAGGTCACGTTAATCTTCAACTGTTTCTGTTTTGTTATATCAATAGTTTTCACTGATTCGGCTTTAAGCGTTCCTAATGAAGGTTAATCCAAAAAAAAAAGAGCTCCTGACGCATGAAATGTATAACGTGATCATGGTGATGTTTTCATAGTTAATGAAGTGTTGACACATATTTGAGTTACTGTACACACATATTACTCACGATTGTGATAATGCAATTAATCCTGAGATACCAAAAAACTACGATCATGTCAAACAGTCATGAAAAATGTGAAGTATATACATATTTCCGAATGGGAATTATTGTTCATATCTTTTTCCAAACACACGAATGTTGCAGAACATTTCTTTTATGTTATGGCTATACTTGTTGTCCTATCTGGTTTTATCAGCTCTTATTTTTTTTAAATAAGTTTTGGATTTTCAAATATGTTGGCCTTCAGCATTAATGAAGAGACATACGTTGTCTAAATGCGCATCTGATGCAAAAAAAAATGGTACTGTTAATGTCATTAAGATATACATATGATTGTTCGTACAGACAAAGTTCCAAACCATATTTTGTTCTTAATGTCACTTATTCTTATTACAGAAAGAGACATAACTTTAATAGGAAGTCGTCGAACACTTCGGTAAAAATTGAAAACAACATCCCGCTGAAATAACATACAATTTTGGGGGAAAAAACAACTCGGTTTTTGTTTATCGTTGCGAAGGAGCAGTGGTAACAAGAAAAACAATGTTCTGGGAGATAACGCTAACAAAGAAAAATGGTTTGTGAAATAGGATGCGATTATAAAGCGTTATAACTCTTATAATATACATATACCAACTATCTTATATATAACAAACAAAAAACTATGCAAACATTAAAAGGGACGGAAGAGAAAAAAAAACTTATAATTAAAAGAGATCATAAAGGTCTTTCCAAGGAAAAAGTGGAAAGACCTAATATAATAAACAAAAGAAATTCAGTGAGGTATTCAATCATAAAGGAGAGACTTAAACACATACACATACAGATAACCTGTCAATAGAGTCTAAGGTATGGTATATCAGTGTACTATACATGTCATTACTATAATGATGCATATATCCACTTTACTTTGAATTTTATGAACTTGACGTAATACTTTCTTTGTAATTGACTAACACGATCAGTTAGATTTTAAACGTGCTGGCTTGTAACACCAATAGTGTCAAACTAATCAGACATAATAGTTTTACTAAGTTAATGCAGGCTCAATGACAAAAGAGTCGTAACAACAATTGTCATTGGTTTGATCAAGCATTATTAAGTTCTGCATTCAATCAGAACATGATTTGATGGGACCAGCAGTACGGTTTCCAGAAGCGTATGCTACGATGGCGTATGATTGATTCCGTAACTTGTTTTTTATAAAAATAAAAGCAGCAAACACATCGGTAGGATTCATTTCTTACATAATGCCATAAACTAGATAGTAAACAGATTTGCTATGATACGCTGTATCAGTATACACATCGTGTTTAAAGAAAAATAATATCTAAAATACCAAGCTTATAATATGGTATGCCAGATGTTTTGTTTCTTTTACACGAGACTCACCATGGGCTCTCTAATCTCCAAACCACAAAACAAACTAAATACCATAAGACATAATAAAAAATCCATAGTAATCATATATCTTTAAGTTTACCTGAGAGACGTTCTTGATATGCTTCATTTATTCATTAGTTATTCACTATTGTATATTTTGAATATGGACACTGCTGTACATCCATTGTGCACATCTTATTAAAATGAATTTCTTTGGCTTCCTTTTCTGCGTTACAATGTAACTATAGAAAATAGATCAAATCTCCTCAAATAAACAATATTATTCTACTAGTAATTGATACACAACCGGTGCTACCAGTGCGATCCACAAACATTATACATTTTACACATGTTAACTATGTTGAATTGACCACGTGCTAAAGATCGGTGTTACGTTTATAAAGTTTATTTTTTTGTATATTTCTGTTGGTTGGTCCTTAGCTCAATCGTGATAATTTTTTAAATCAAAGTGACAATATCAGATTGCAATGTTTGATCATGTAGAAGCTAATACGAATATTCTAATAATGGATTTAAAACATACTTCGTGAGAAATGTTACATACTAAACAATGTATATCCTACATTGATGATATGTGTAATTTACTCTGATTTTCATTTTATTATAATTCCGCTGCGATTGTAACATAATTTTAACAGGTCGACTATACATTTACAGGTTTTTAACGTTGACATGCCTTTATGGTTTCGAAACTTATATGTGAATAATACAGTGTAATCGTGTGATCTATCTATGCATAACGGTTAGTTCAAATAACGTACAAATTGGATAAAATCATATTCAAAGTTCCTCTCCGTCAAGTTATACATGTTATAAGCGACAGCTTTGTTTTACCTCTTCCTGGTTTGTAAAATTTCTTACTATTTGAAATTATCAATTTTATTTCTGTCATATCATTATACTTCCAATTCTTTAAGTGCGTTTTGAGGCTGATTCATTCAAAAATAAACGACACACTTCTCACGTAACTTTAAAGGTATAAAGAGATCACATGACTTTGTGAATGAATATGCTACTGTGAAGGGTAAGTTTGTTTATTTGGAGCATAATAATGACGGTATAAATTGAAATAAAACTATGCTATAATTTAAACATATTAAACGAAAAGTTCATTTCAATTGTTTGTACTTGGATGCAATATATTAGTGACAATTATTTGTTGTTAAATTGTAATATAATTTCATTCTTATTTGATCATAACATATTTATTCCATATACCAAATCTGTTATCTTTATAATTTATATTATTTACATGAATAATAAGAAGGTCAGAACCTTCTCATTTAGTTTATATGTAAATACATGCAAAAATGATCGTAAAGTTGATTCGTTTGTGCCAAAATGTAATATGTTTTGCAACTGATACTTTTACGAATATACAATTGTTTTATCTGTGATATAAAATCAGTCATTTAAAACCTGGGTCATTTGTCCTTAAGTCCTGTTTTAGTAAGATAGCAAACAATCCCCATACCTTTCCGAAGGTTAGATATTATGACTATGTTTGTCAAAACAATCAATAAACTGCATGATTTAAACTTGGCTTTTTTTATTTTAAAGATATTTTCTTTTGTTTCAAATTTGAAATACAACTACGAACACAGTTTTATTTCTCAATTATGTTCACTGTACTGCAATATGAAAACTAACTAAGATTATATGTATTTTTTTTCCATGTTAATGCAATATATACATAATTTATAAAGTATACAAATATTGCCGCAATGTAACATTGCATGATTATTTGAAAAGTATTGAAAGCACAAATTAAGCATTATATTACCAATTTTCTTCAACTATTATTTGTATTATCAATCGTTTGTTTAAATATTTTACCAGTAAAGATTAATCACACACTGTGTGCATCAATTCAGTCCCTTCTGGTACCCCGGTTAATGTTTTGAGTTGCAATTCATATTGCCATCTGTTAAGTCTTCAAGGATCTCATGTAGTGTCATGATAAGTCTTTGTTGCTTTTATATGTAGCTTGAAGATGCACAAAGTGGTTGATTTTGCGTATGAAATATTCCCGTCAGTTGTTTGTTTATTCATTATGTCTTGTTTTTTTTTTTAGTGTTTTCCCTCTCTGGATGATAACGATACTATCGCATTACCATCGCATTACCAAACCTTTTAAAATTTAAACACAGGAATCATAAAAAATCTTGTCAACGTTGATTATGATAGTTTTGACATATACAGATGAAGGGTTATGTTCCTTCGTTACCTTAAAAAAAGATTGGTTAATAAAATTACCACTGGACCAAATACTTTGACCTTTGAACACAATGTCAAGGATGAAATTCAGGTCGATTTCGATTTTGGCGATTTTGACATTTACCGTTAAAGAGTTATTTATTTCCCTTGTTAACTCACAATTATGACTTTGTTAGTTGTTAGATAAAAGGAAAGTACCATTGAATGAAATCGTTTAAGATTATGAAACATAAAATACATGTCACATTCATTTGGAATGTATTATGTTATTTTTCTCTAAAATGATTCTTGCTAGCAAATGAAAATTTTAGGCATGGCTCTTTGATTATAGAGTTAATTGCTTGACTACATTTATAGAATACGATACAGAAAAATGTTCCCTTTTTGCTCTCTTTTCGTAGATTGATTTTTTGGAACAATAATATTTATATCCAATCTGTCATAATTTTTCATTGTAGAACAACAAACCATGCAGTCATCAAATGAGGAAGACGATTGGAATATGCACAGTTTAGACTTTCCCTTAAATGTTATAAACATATATAAAGCTCGATGCAGTTATCAACCTTTATCGGTCCCAGCTTATTCTGAGGGTATACCATTGAGCTTTTATACAAATTTACATAATGTACATCGGACATAGAACTAACTGCATAATTAGGTGTGATTTGCAAAACTGAAGTTAATAACTCAATGACATTTAACTCAAGTACTCTTAGCCACATATGATATGGATAGTTATATACTCCTTCTTATTGATGTGTCTTATGTTTTTTAACAGTTTAGAATGCTTCCGCGGCTCTGTTACTAGCCTTTTTGAAGTATGAACTAGAAAAATACAAATTATTGTACCCAAAATAAACAAAAAATATCCGAATCATAATGTAATGCATATACAATGTTGAATAACGAAATGGTCGAATTGTATTGCTCTTTTGCCATTGAATTTAAACAATACAGAAACGAAAAATGACGAATCTTCATGAAATGTAATTCAAACGGTTTCACAGACAGAATAGTTGTTTAGGAAATAACTGACTAAAATGAAGAACACAACAATAATACTGACTCAGAATTATTATGTTATACGACAACATAAATCAATATACTAGTACACACATTGGTACAATATATAGACTGGACGATCAAGAGCCCATAAGTAGATTAGTATGTACTCGATATTGAATAAACATAGATATGTTGAAATATACTTTATGACTTATTTCTTACAAAATCATTGGATTGTGCATATTTCATAATCGCAGGTTGACCCTTGTCATATAACTAACAGTGTCAAAAAGCCGGTCAGTACCGAGTCCGGTATCGGCTTTCCATGTAACTTTGAATAATCCGGAGACTTATTCTAGCGAGTAAAATTCATATTGGCCATTTTCTGGTTTGGAGAGAAATGTACAATATGCGAGACATACATAAGAATAAGAAGATGTGGTATGATTGCCACTGAGATAAATCTCCACCATAGAACAAACTTACGTAGACGGTAAACAACTATAGGTTACCGTACGGCCTTCAATAATGAACAAAACCCATGCCGCATGCCAAGGTATAAAAGGCCTCGAATTGACAAATGTAAAACAATTCAAACTTGAAAAACTAACGGCATGATTGATGTAAAATACAATAAACGGAAAACATATAAGGATAACAACAACACCCGGTTGATTATTGATCTGATACACTAGCCATCGTTTACAAAAAATGAAACCATCTTAAAGTGTCGTGCTCTAGAATAACGTCGTTGCTAAAAGCAAAACGTAATTTTCCGGAGAAGACACGATGTGGTTACTGGTATCATTGAGGAATCATTGGAACACTAAATCAATCATGTGAACAAATAAACAAAATCAAACTTAATACACAAATTGTCTGTATTCCATTGTTTATTCTATTACCCATTCTTATTATTTGATAAATAGATCATGACATGATATTTTTATATCTACTCTGGTAATCCCTCAACACATGTTTAACCTTTGTCTACAGTTATTGGTCTGAACTGGGAGTTTCTGACTGGTTAAGGGTCGATATTGAAAATGTAATGTATCAATATATAGATATCACTCATCCATATAACCAAAATATTATATGAGAATATGTATGTAATGAAGACTAAAAGTGATAATAGTTTAATGAAAGAGATACACAATATTGCATACAGAAAACAAAGAAACAAAACGTAGACATTGACTTAACATTTCAAATTTGAAATAAAATATTGATGATTAAGGAATATTCACGACAGTATGGCTGCTTCACTAACCAACGGTTAAACTAATGCGCTTACATTTAGCTATAAATCAAGTGTAGCCTCAATGATGACTTATTTCAATTTTGTTTAGTATATTAAAAGTGATGACAGCGCAGGTGTTCTCTTAAAGTCACGACTACAATATCACACAAAACGGGTATGTATATATATTTATTATATACTTAGTAGTAAATACAGATAAATTGTGTAATACAATCATTGGCAAGCGTGCTGTATCAGCCACCCGTGATGATATCGATATCAGCACGGTTGCAAAGGCTTTATCACACATTTAATATATATGACGTCACGTCATCGATTGCAGTCACTGTTGCAAAGGCTTAATCAAACCCCTAATCTGTATGACGTCATGTCAAACCTCTAATCTGTATGACGTCATTTCAACCCCCCCTCCCCCCCTTATCTGTATGTTGTCATGTCACATTAAACACATCTACGTGAGGTATATGTATATAATAAAGTGTATATGATATGGCTTTTTCAATACCACACACCGTATCAACCCTCAACCAATATAATCCCTCGAGCAGAGCTCTTGGGATGATATTGCTGTCTCGGGTTGATACGGATGTGATATTGAAAAAGCCATATGATATTCTCTATTTATCTTACCTCCTCTACATTTATTGGAATATGATTTGTTTAAAGCAACCGCGTGGAGACCGTGTATATTCCATATTGGGTTAAAAAGCGGGGCTTATTTTAATAAACGGTTAGTTGTGGTGTTACATCCCTTTATAAAAACAACACTGTATTTTGGAAAAATCTTAAAGGTTTCAACAGACAAAGAAATTGATGATGAACGAGTAAAATATATTCATAAAACACATTTAAAGATGTTATTGTTGGCATTTGTTTTTGTATAGACCAATGGACGTAGGTTCTTAATACTAACGGTATTGAAGACGTGATCACTTTGATTAGCCACTAGTTCAAACACCACATGTTAAGATAGTCGATAACATAAATTCGTCACATAGTGTGCTAATGACCTAATACGACCTAATACGATATATATGGGGTCAGTAAATTCCATATGGGGATTCGAGCTTCGCTCTCACGTCTGATAATGTGACGACATTACGACAGACGTTCTGAATAACCTGTGTTTATACAGGTCTAACATCATAATTCAAATATACTTCATCTCAACTTTAGCCCCACAATGTTAGATCTGCAAATTTGCGTTAGGAAGTTTTTGTTCTTCATTTAGCGAGATTCGAACCCCCTGCATCCTAGACATCGTAGCAACACCGTCTGCACTGTGTCCAGTGCCCTAGAACACTCAACCAACTAGGTTATAAAATATAGCTTTTGTTAGTCTAGTAATGCCGCCTTTCCTTGTCGGCTTTATGAAGTGTTGTACCACAGTTAATGATGTATGGTGGCAAGTAGATGTTATACCTCTCAGATCAGCTGTTTGTTTTATGTCCTATAATGATAGTTTTACTTACCATGCTGTTACATTAAATCAGTGTATGTGGAAAACATGTATGCAGTAAATCTGGTCATGGCATTCGACCACCTGATTAGTAGTTGACGTTACGGTTGTAAAAATGTCTCACAAATCCCGTCTACCTACACCGTTGTAGTTAAAACAGTTAAGAGGTGATTCTCACGTGAAATTGTCATTATTAAATCACTCATGGGTTTCAAATATCGCTTTAAAACATTCTTGCGACGACACGATCAGATATGCTTAATTACCTTAGGTAATTTAGGTGTTGAATTTTCTTAAACGAGAAGAACTCTGGTAAGGATGAATAGTTATTATGTGAAAATCAATCATGATTTGGTAAAACAAAATCACATAAATCTGTTTTGCGTTTTTAAAGTCCATCGGTATATTATAATCTTCCTAGAATAAAATGTAAACATGGTAAATATACGACCAAGCACCTTTGCAGACAATTAGATACTGTAACAGTTGATAATGAGCAAATATGTCTAATGCTGTACTAATACTCTGTGTTTGCCAACACAAATTCATATGCTATTTTTCACATAGAAATCTTCAACATTATGGTGCGGGCAACACAATCGAGAGATAAGCTATACTGACGCAGATGTGAAATCCTTTTTAGAGACATTGGTAAACTCCTAAAAAGGATTTTAAAGGACAAATCGTATGATGTTTACAAAGGTAATTAGTCGTTTAAATAAATACTTGGCATACACTTATGTTAAAATTCCATTAAAAAAAAATGCATATTCCCGTATTTCAATACTCCAGTGTAGAGTTTTAAACTTAGGAAATGTTAATATGTTAAACATCGCACATCAGTGGACCCACAATAATACTTCAAGTATATAAGATAAGTTTATATAGACAAACAGGAATAAACTCGCTTAAAATAGCGCACTACAACGAACTTATGCATTATGTGACTTGCAAATTGTGAGGTATTCGTAAATGAAAAGCAATCGTTCAAACTAACGACCGAAAAAATGATGTCAAGTCACAGTGCGATAACAAAAATGACAATCCCATATTGAGATGTATTTACTCTTGGTCGTTGTTTCAATTGTTAGATAATGGTTATGTTGAAGAAAAAACTCTAAAGAACTAGATATTTAACTATCGATTTCTACATTATAATACAATAATGATTATGAAAATAAAGCACGAAAAAAGGAAAATTATGGCTAATAGTTCCCTTCCCCCTAATCTACAACAAATCAGTATTCCAAAGACATATACTGTGGATTCATTATTATTCGTTGGATACCAATTTTCGTTGATTTCGTGGGTACAGCCGAACCACGAATTTAAATGTTCAACGAATTACAAATTTTGTATAGGCTTTGTATGCAGAGATTGGCAAAAGCACGAAAATGCAAGTTTTTGCAAATCAACGAAAATTGACACCAACGAAAATAAATGAATCCACAGTGCGTAATATTAATAATATGTACACAATTAATCTCATTTTATTAATATCCTTTTGATAAAATTTCGATAAAAGTACTAATGTTTCAAAATTTTAACCACAGAGTTTGACCTTTAAAAGGTCCTTTTATTAGTAAAGTGCTGCAAACAAGAATAAAAAAGAAAACGTTTTCTCAAGATGGTATCTCTTGCTTATTAAAAAGATTATGTTGGGCGCCCGCAAACATGTTAAACCCTGCCCTTTTGAACGTGATTATACCAAGTCAAGAACCGTTTATGCAGTGGATGTCGATAGTTGCTGTATATACTATTTGGTTTTAGTCTAATGCGTAAATCAGGTCTTTAGTTCTTTCGCTTGAATTGTTTTTCATTTGAATTTTTGAGGCTTTTTAAAGCTGGCAATGTGCATGGTATGGGCTTGGTAAAGGCAACACGTTGACGCGCGCATAGTTTCTAACTTCTATATTATTTGGTCTTTGGTTGTCGGGTATCTCATTGGCACATTTTCTCAGTTTTAAATATGTTTGCATGTCCTGAAATTCCATGAGTACATAAATCCGTCTCAGATTTAGATAACTTTACAGACGTTCTGACAAGGTAAGTGATGTCTGTAAAAACGGAGAAAGTAAACAAACAGGAGTTATAATCCACAAGATTGGTACAAAATAAATTGTGTTACACTTTTTATGAACAGAACAAATCTATTAGGCCACGACGCAAAGGAAACGAAAACGCTAATGAATAAGAATCGAGTTGTCTTGCATTTTTCAAGTTTTGTCTTAGTCGATACAAAGACAACATCATTCCCATAATTGTAATTTAGATATCGATTTTTTATTGTTTTGGAAATATTAAGTCAAAACCAATAATTTCACTCACAAAAATGAAACCGCGCTTTGAAGGTCATCATCACATCAACATATATGATCAAAACGTAAAACAAATGTGTATTTACTATTCGTCCTTTTAAAACATGCCCTGTATATCTTTTTTGCAGATATAAAAGAGAGCGACGAAATAAAAAAAAGGGATGTTATAATTTGGTCAGTCATACTTAATAAACGAGATTATGCAATTGTTTTATTGAAAGAAGGATTAACAGAGGATGCCAACTATACCAAAGGGACATGTATATGTAATTATACTTATATATTCAATATTAACGATGCAGCATAAATACAAGGCACCAGTAGTTAACAAATAATCAGCTCTTGTTAGTTCTTTTTTTAATGTTCAAACCAGGCAAACAAATCTGTGTCAAGCGTGTTAAATCATCAGATTACAGACATAAACAATGTCACGGTAGCAATTTCCGTATCTAGTGCATTTTAAACATCACATGAGGTATTATGTCTTAAGTTCTCTGATTGCAAACAAATGTCGCTGCATCTTTCAAAAATGTTGCGCGTATTGCTATACAACTCGTGTATTGTCTATATATATGATATAGGTCGTTGTTTTTTTTTACTCTTCTAGGTAAGTTTTTGCGTCAGTATGATACTTGTTCATGTTGTGTTACTGAAGTTCATTTAATTTGGTTATATACGTGTGTACATGCCAACACATAAACACAAAAAAAAGCACATAGAAATTATTCATATAACTAAAATAAGCACAAAATAGCAGAAGCACTATACGTTAACAGGACATTTGCCATGCTGAAAACAAAGCATTTACGCAGCTCATCTGGCAGCTCTTAAACCCGCATACCTTAAATACTGTAGGCCTCCTGCAATTGTTCTCACATAGTAGGTCTGCTGTATTCTGGTATCTGTAAGAGTAAGAATATTTGTTTAAGTTGATTGAATCATGAAGATTGACAGGATACTCTTTATAAATAATTTTGAAAACTTCAATAGCCAATGACCTCAATCTTCTAATTTCTAAAGATAGTAATGTTGATTTGCAGAGCAGATCTTCATAACTTGCTGAAAAGTCTTCATATATAAGTCTTAGAGCTTTCTCTTGAATTTTTTTATTTGTTTTGCAATTACCTCCCCACAAAGGTGCCGAACTAGTTGGCATTATTGAAATCAGACATTGTGAAACAAATGAATACTTGTTAACTCTCCAAGTTTAGTCAGGTGTTTTTCAATTTTTTGTAATGCATTAAGCTGTCTGGATGCTTTAGACATATAGAAACATGTTCATTGAAATTTAATTCAAAATCTATCGTTACTCCTTAGAGTTTAACCTCATTTTCGCATTCTATTTCTTTACCTTTTAAATTCAGTTTTACGTTCTTTACTTTGGTTTTTTCCCTACAGCTATCGCCCGTAATTCTTCTGGATAAGCATTCATTTTATTTATTGAGAAACGATTACAAAATTTGCTTTCATCTTCAAGTCATAATTAATTTATTTATGTATTTATCTGAATATGAAAGAGTGTTGTCGTTTGTACACGTATGGAGATCACTTTTATGAATAAAGAAGAAATTGTCATGGAAAATGTTTCAATAATGTCTGCCCAATATAGACCATTACTGCACCCCTCAAAACATTGATTGACAGTAGAACTGAATTAGAAACTTCTTTAGCCCACTGTTTTTTTTTAGTTACATTACCTTCCAAAAGATGAAGAGAAGAGGCGGAGATACCCTAGGGTTTTACTTTAAGTAGAAGAAGGTTATGGGATAGAAATCCTGGAACAAATCCATTAATATTGTTGCTACATATCTATTCTGATTTAAAGAATTTTTCCAATCTTGAATTATATCTAACATGTGTAATAAATATGCTTGATATCCGTATCTTTTTCGAAAAACCTTACAGAAAAAATTCGCAAAAATGATTTAGAATATTCATCAAGTTGAGTTTCTATAGACCTTTCATTTTATTTTTTTAATCATAGGCAACATACTTCCTGGTTTATAAATTCCTATATCTAAAGTGTTAAAATTTTTATGCAAACCTGTGCTTCCTTTAGTTTGTCTGGGAAAACAGCTGATACAAATGATGTATCTATTAATTTTGAAAAAGGATAGGATTCAGATAATTTCATCTTTTCCTGTTGCTTTTTTAACTTTGATTGTATTGATTTATATTGTTACAAATCATAATTGACTGGGCGAAACTATACCTCAAGTTGGGACTTTTTCGATGCGTACCTCCATCGAATCCCCCTTTACTACTGAAATAAACTTGGGAAGAAGCTACAGTACTGTATGTTTGACACCAGTACTGTAAACAAGTTAAACTGGAACTGGACTATCCAGGTTAAACTAGACTTGTTATAAAGTTTTGACTGCTACCAGCATTTAACTAATGACCAAAATCGCTATTTATGGATTGTTGAAATATATTGAGGTATAGAAGTTTTGCAATTATCCTCCATAATTTTGTTTCATCAGTTCCTATTGATACCCTATTATGCAATAAATCGACTGGTCGTTTAGAAGTGTCACATACAAGAATGCATACATACAAAAGTGTGTATATGCCTGATATTGGTATCCCAATGTGTTTTTCATTCTTCGCTTGCCTTCTCATAATTAGTTTACTGTTAAACAGATGCATCTTTATTTGCCATTGCAATGTTGAAGGTTTTATCCAAACTAGCGGATGCTGAAGAAAACATGGATCTTGGTGCATCATTTATGGAGAACTCGAGGTAAATTTACCATCAAAAGGCTTTGTTCAATGACTTCCTTGTCATAAGTATCATTTTGACAAGGAAATCATGAAAGGAGCATAGAAACTGAACCATGGAATTGACTGGTTAATTTATATTCTTTGCCGATGCTACACTGACAGATTGTTACATGAAAAAAGAAACTTCACAAAAAAACGGCTTTTAGTTTGCTAGTAGAGTTTAGTTCTTCATGAATCTCACAATTTCTTAATGATATAAAGCCGATACTTGTATTTGTGTTATTCTCTTATTTAATTTCAATGAAACATGCGGAATATATACAATCGATATGGTCACCTAGCTTCATCAAAGTTTTTATTTAAAGGACGACAAAATTAGACAGCAACGGCTTGATGATTGCCTTCATCGATAAGTCTGATAAGGTCAAGGTACAGTAAATTGGATATGTCACAGATTGTAATTAAATTTTCCCACTGTACTGTAATTTGCATGATTGTGGTCAAAAATGTACGCCACAATCTTCAGAAAGGTAATTCTAAAAGTGTTCAATACATAGAAAAACTGATGTTTGGCTGGCATATTGGATATATAGGAGGATTGCGAAACTTAAGGTCGACTACAAAGGTATGTCAATATACAACAAATGTACTTGCAATTTAAGCAGTTACTTGCAAGATTGTATATTGATTATCCAACTGCATTGTTGATTTTTTTTTTTTCGTATCAAGGTTTTTTGAGGTTTTAGCCTGCAATGTTGTAGCTCAAATGTATTTGAACGACAGAGCAACGACACAGAAAATACTCACGCAACCAGTTAAAGATTATGGTTGTTCAATGAAGACTGTAATGAAAATATCGGCAAATAATGATCTTATGAAGTTTATGGGTACAACAGCATGCCAAACGAAACTTAAAAGTATTTATAGAGAACACATGTCTATACTAACGTCCAGAGAAATGGTATGATGATACATTGTTTTACTCTTTTTTATTGCGTGCAAATAAACTTGAAAAAAATAAACATTTTTAAAAGTGATATTTATAATTTGAATCAGCAGAAAACTTTGTACACAAACATTACAAAAAGGTTATCTCACATAATTCATAACCGTGTTTGTGACGGAAATTTTAGAAAATCAAAAATGTGTCGTTGTTTTTTTTTTTTTGTAAAAGCATAAAACATGTAGAAAAGAACGATACACATAACCCGTCATTATAGTTGATAAAAAACTATAGAAAATTAACTCCTACTTTTTTAACAACTCATCTCCAACAATAAATACACTGAAGGTGATATCATCACCATGCTTGACATTTTGATAGATAACGTATTTGTTAAGTTCGTTGCATTGATGTTTCAGATGACCATCGGTATTCCAATACGTACTTATTATACACACTAATGGTCGACAAAACCTTCAATGACTTAAGGAAAAAACAGAAATCTTGCAATTATCTTTAATTTCACTTTCAGCTATATATAATGAAGTCCTGTCACTCAGAAAAAAAAACACAATTCAGTGAATGCTTGAGTCGTTTATATAAGGGCAAACTTGATATTAACGATACTACAGAACAAGAAGGTTTGCTACATATATTGGTCTTTTCTGCAATATTCACATACTAGACAAATGACTGCACATATAATCTGCATTCACTAATAAGGGTGTGCTCGTTACAAAAAAAACGCACCAACAGATTTATAAGGAAGACTAATATTGTAATCACTACGAATTGGTTGACCTATACGATATGTCTGTGTCTCAATTTACAAGCGACATGTTTTTCGCGGTGTTGCATCTTTTAAAACAAGATAAGTTGTATGATCTGCAATTTGGCCGATTGTGTCCTATTTCCGATATTGACATTTTGACTGAGTGAAGAATCGTTTAGCGGGTGATGCATGTACAACAAAAACGCTTACTTGTCGACGTATCCAGTTCCGCTTCATCATGAATTAATGTGATTTTTTTACCTTTGTTTGTATCTTCTTAAGGTGGTACATAACACTACAGAGAGATAACTCTGTAAAAATCAGTTGAACGCTTTAATCACTTTATACTGTTAAGGAAATATTAAGCTTCTCAATGATCAAAATTAGTGTTTGTCAAACTGCTATATATCCAATGAAATTTTTAAGACAAAGTGTGTGGTTCAAGTTTTTTGAATTTATTATATTTTTGTCAAAGGGTCAAGGTAAATATTTTGTCAAAATTTTATTAAATTTAAACGAACCAAATTAATTTTAGTCCAGGTGTTTGGCACCACCTTAATCGATTTATTGAATTTGAGCATCGTTAGACTAATGTTTACTAAATTCAGCTGAATTGATGTACAATGAAAGTTCAACCAGAGAACTAAATTAAATGTTCAAGCAGAATAAGTGTAACAGAAACAAAAAATATTGTCTTCTACATATAGCCCTAAAACAAATACATGAATATATGATAGATACACAAAAATGTTTCTCAACGAAACATTATAGCAAAATAATAATATCAAAAATTGGTTTGCTTTAATGAAGGTATATACTGATTTTTACCTGTGCAAGTTGTGTGTTTTGTTTTTACAAATTCCTTTTCGATAACTAGTTTTATTTAAGGAAATTATTGAATGATTGTAATTCTATTTAATCTTACATGTTTTAATTTCAGATTCTGACATGTATTTTCCTACCCTTTTTAATACCACGCATTAAATTTGTGGCATACAAAAGTAGAGACAAAAATGATTATCAAGAACCCTTTTTAAAAATTAACTGGTGTGGTTGTAAAGACTCATCTAAGGGTAAAATATGCCTCATTGATGCGTTGTATTGGTTCTATAGTGCACCTGTGACCAAATTCTGGACAAATTTGGTAAGAACTCAATCATTATCAATTAACAACAGTTAACATGATGTCGTTATGAAAATGTTACGGAACATATGTATTCATAAACACTGTGTAGCCGCAAATTAATTTTGTTTTTTAAGGTTTGTAGCGCTAATTGAGAAACATATTTGCTTTCATATTTTCAGAGAGAAACTAGATGACCAAATTGTCTGATTTTCAAAAACGATTTCTTCATTTTTTCTACTTCTGCACTTAAATTAAATAACGAAATCAAAATTCATTTCTTGCAATTTTTATCAACAGGCAACATGTACGATTCATAAATGCGATTTCAGGAAATGAGGTATGCTATTAATACACTCGTTATTTAGATATAAATTACTGATATGTGCGATAATTGTGATGATGTTTTGTATTAAAATGAAATATCGATACAATTTTTTCGTTTGCCTAAAGCATTTTAAAGTTAGACAATATAGTATGTTTGTATGTTCTACAAAACTGATCACTACCCAACTGTTAATGTTATTAGGTCTTTCCACTTTTCCGTGGAAAGACCTATTGGTTTTGTTCTGATTTTTTTTTTCTTCCGCCAAATTTTTTTCTTGCTCTGTATTTTTGTTTTAAAAGATGTCGCTTTGTTTTTTTGTATATAATATCATACGGTCTATACGCTTTTGAAACTGACCCTGTTCAATCGAACACTTTTCTGTGTAAGAGTTATCTCCCCGAACACTGTTTTTCTTCTGATGATATCTCCTTCGCAACCGTAAAAGAAAGCGACAAATTTATTTTTCCAAAATGCTCATTATATCCTCAGGATGTTACGTTTTATTTTGACCGAAGCTATCAGGAGACTCCATATGAGAGTTATTCCCCCTTATGCATTTGACATAAGTGATATGCATTTCTAACTGGTAAACCATAAGTGATAGAGACCTAAGGTCTTTTGATTTGAGGTCCTTGGTCCAAAAAAAAAGGGAAAATTAGGTCAAGGTCAGAGGTCAAGGTCATATTCTAAATTTAGATTTTGGCTTTAGTTCACTTCTTTTCAAAAACCGTATAAGATATCGACAACATATTTTTACTAAATTGTTAGTTGCGACATGTCGTAACACATACATTTTGGTTGAAAAGGTACGCTAACATTAAATTGGAGTTTCCTCCCCTCTTAGATTTAAAATTACGCGTATGGTGATATAACTCATTCACCATATATAATTAAGACCTAGTGTCTTTTGATTTTAGGTCTTTGATTTATGACCTTCAAATTGAGCTCCAGGTCATTGGTAAATTTGACGTTCTAGATTTTGACCTTTGCTTTTACTTCATATGTATACATGATAAACCATGGGACTTTATGCATTAGGTTGCAAGCCATATGACCGTGGAAAAGCCAACTGGAAGTGACCTTGTGTAAACCGGAAGTAGCTTTTTTTGTTCTTGCGTAATGTACAAGTATATAGAACCATCTATTTTTGGAATCAGTGTCTGTTAAACTATCAAATAATACCAAAAGTGACATTTTTCAAACCGAAAGTAACACATTATCTTCCTTATTTAAATCAAAAACGTCTAAAACCATATTTTTTTTTAAACCAGCGTACAATAATCTATCATTTGACGCTGGAAATAACATTTTAAACCGAATTTTAATATTTTTGTATCAAAATAGATCTTTTCGGGTGGAAAGACCTTCTTCAGAGATCAATTGGTTTTTAATTTCTTTTTGGTTTTGTTACATAGATCTGAGTTGATAATAGCCTGTTGATTAAGGTATCAAATGGATATGTCTACCGATTAATCGATGCCAAACTGCTAACATCATGGCAAGAATAAAAAAACAACCGAAAGATAAATAAGAATCTACAAAACACAACATCGACAATAATATACTTGGCAATATGAACCACACAAAAACTGAAGGTGACTCGGAAAGGTAAGCAGTTCCTGCTTTAGATAAGGCAGCCAGCATGCCGATGAATTATATAAAAACAAAAAACTCGATGATGAGACTTATTCGATGATGTCAAACTTAAGGAAAAGAGGATGGGAAGGTGGTTACAACTATTGGAACGTATCTTTCGAACAAAATCATAAAACATTAGTAAGGAATAAAATAATCATTAGAAAAATAGAATAGGATCACAGTTATTATGTTTATTATAATTTTGTTTTGCACCTGATAATGATATTCAAAAGTAAAAAATGGAATAAGTAGTGTAATGAAAATGTTGAAGTTTTGCGTGCCGGCGTAACATTTAGATTTATGTTATAGTGTTATTAAAACGTTATCAATTTATCTCTCTTGAAATGAATCGAAGTAGGTTTTCCGATGTGCAAAAAATATGTTTTCTGTTCTTAATACTTTATGGAAAAATATAGACGTATCTTACATTAGCATTTGACAAAAAGAATTTTCATTCTGATTTCGTTTATGATATGCTGTAATAAGTAGTGCAGGGATTTTACTACACACGACGTGTCTTTGACGAAAAACAATCGTTTATTAGGTACGTTTGACAAAATAAGTTTGAAAAACCTATTTCAAAAAATGGATTGTTTGAAAAAAAAATATTTACTAGTTACCGTAATAGTCATTATCATCTATTGCAAAATTTTCTGAATAACTTACTAGTTAATCTGTCCTTGTATATTAGCCAGTGATATTAAACTGCAAAGATATCGCTAACTTACACTTGTAGTACTGGCATGATATTTCCCTTACGATTTGAATGCATGAAAATATCACGTAACAATTTCTTGGGTCTGAAAGACTTTTCACGATGTTCATATATCAGAATTGCTGAAACCAAACATTTGAGGGCCAAGGATGTTTAAATAACTGAATACGTGGTGAGTGATATGACATAAAAGGGACATTAAAAGAATAAGCAAATTCATCTTAATATCTGAAATCCAAGGATGTACATTTGCCACAACATGTTGAGAGATATATGACCAAAAGGAACCTACAAGCATATAAGTAAGCAACTCCATCTAATTTCCCGTTGACTTGAAGCTTAGTTTTTTAATAATTTATAAAATCAATAAACTGTCTCTAAGAAAAGGCATGTAACAAATTAGGTCAGTACCTAAACACTGAATACTGAGCGTATGCCACCATAATATAATAAGTATATTCATACCTGACCTATTTTGGGAGCTACAGTTACAAAATATTATTTTAATAAATCCTACAAGATTTCAC